GCAAGACATTTACTTTTCTAATGGTTTAGATAAATCATTTGTTTCTATTTGGGAAATTTTCTACAAATAATGTCTTAATCAATACACTTTTTCAGGACTTTATGAAACTTGGATTCCTTACTGAACATACTTTATGTAAAACATAACTGCTGTTTGTTCCTCATTGCTTTGTACTATGAATTCACTTGGACTAAAAGAGACATTATCATTTTTTGTTCATTTGTTCATTTATATAGTCATTCAACAAATACTTACTGAGTATTCATTACATGCCAGAAACTATTCTCATCCATTAACAAATTAGCATTATTGTTAATAATTACACATTTGGTTCCTGGCCGTGGTGGCTCGGTGGTTGAGCGTCAACCTATGAACCAGCAGGTCATGGTTCAATTCCTGGTCAGGACACATGCGCGGGTTGCAGGCTCAATCCTCACTTGGGGGCATGCAGGAGGCAGCCAATCAATGATTCTCTCTCATCATTGAAGTTTCTGTCTCCCTCTCCCTCTCCCTTCCTCCCTGAAATCAAGAAAAACATACTAAAAAAATAATTACACGCTTGGTGAGAGTTGAGTCAAGATGATCCTTTCCTTGAAGGGGCTTGTTGCCTGGATTTCCGCCCCCCACCCCCCAAAAGCACCTTATTCATGAGCAATAGAATGTCAAAAGCACCTTATTCATGAGCAATAGAATGTCCTCACCAATCCCAAATTGCTTGACTTGACTGTGATTGTGAGTTATTTGAGCGTAAGGAAAATTACTTTACCCCAAGCTCATATATAGTCCCTTGTTACAAGTTTGTTGGTAGTGCTAGTAGCAGCAGCAACAGCATTAAATCATAATGATAATTTGTGCTTTAAAAATGGGCATTTGCCAAAGAGCTTGAGAACCCCTCTGGCAAGGTGAGGGCTGTGAATTCAGGGAATTCTTCGACCATTCAGCTGGCTCTTAGGGCCAATTACAGTCCGTATTTATTGATGCAATCAGCAATTCCATATTTATTGTACTGAATGCATGTTTATAATCCTTAGAAAGTATTTATGAAGCAAAGTGTTTGCTGCAAAAACATTTCCCTTCACCGTGGTTCTGTATGGAAAGGCCAAGTTAGATTGAGATTCTGCGCCTCAGCAGAAGAGACCTCACATTCTCTCGTTCTCATCTCAATGTTTGGCACAAAGCATTCACCACTGGAACACCAATACATTTAATAATGATTATTTTTAATTAAAGTGCAAGAGTGGATAAAGACTAATTTATTTCATTGTGCTGTGTTCTCTGCAGTTTTCTAAGCTTTTTGCTACAATAATACTGCCCCCAAAATAAGGCAGACAGTTTAATTAGTCTCATTAAAGGCTTGTATATAGACTTGTATAATGTTTCCTACAGTAGCAAGAATAACATTTTTTTTGAATTTGGAGTTTTTGTATTTTAGTTTATGTTCCAGTGATGGTGTTTCTGTGTGTTTGTGTGTGTGTTTCTGATCAGTAAGTCCTTGACTGCTTGGTAATTCTCAAGGGGAAATTAGACCACCATTTATTTGAGATGCATTAGGTGTCAGACACTGTCCTGAATGCCCTTGAGTATATTATCTTACTTAAACATCACCAAAGTCTTTGAAAGAGTTTACTGCAATCTATATTTTATAAATAGAAAAGCTGAGGCTCAGAGGATTGAAATAATTTTATCACACTTATACTAGTAAGTAGCTGATGTGGGGTCTGGCACAGATCTTTTTGATTCTTCCCACTGTACCATCGTTCTCTCAGTGAGAACATGCGTTTCCCTTTTTTTCTGCGGTTTTGGTTTTTTATTTCTGTTCTACTGAAATGACTATGTTATAAATGCCATCAAATTCTAGTTGGGAGAACCAAGGAATAAATGAGTTTGGGAGTTCATTATCTATAAGGAAATGCGTTCTAAATGAAGGACTAACTGCGAACTCTAGGAGACTGTCATCTCCACAGTCACTGGGTGGCCTGGGTGCCTCTTGCCAATCATCTGAGGGAGCCTGTCACACCCTGTCCTCATTGTCAGAAACAGGAAATGTGGTTGGGGAGTTTCTGCCCCTCCTTTCTGCAGAACATATCTTCTCCTTGGAATGCTATTGTCAGTTTCCCTTCTCCCCAGCCATCCATCATCATTCACCGTTTTCTCTGGTGCCTATCACCTGGCCTCGCCAGCCCAGATGGACTGTAGCATAATGAATGGCGGGAAGGAGATGCTCTGGGCCATCCTGTGCTCTTCTCAGGATTGGACAACGTGCTCCCTAGGACTGTTCATGGCAGCAGCTCCTTGTTGCTTGATTACCGGAAGGCGTGTAAGGACTGGAGCCTGGTCGCCGGCTAGGATAAATCTCAGAGCACAGAGAGTCACAGGCTGAATGGTCTTTGGCCACAGCCTTTACCTTTGGTTGTGAAGCTCTGTTTTCAAGAATATTTCCCCTGGGCCAGTGTTGTTTATTGGTAATTTAGTAAGCTAGGTGAAAACTTGTGGTTTGTAAGAAGGAAATCACAGAGAATACAGTGTGGATGGCCGTTGGTAGCAGGACTGGAGTAACAAAGAAGTTCTTGTATGTGGAATTGCTTTTCAGCTTCAAGTCTCTCTCCTTTTTTTTTTTCCTTTATATTTCTGCCCAAGCTTTCAGTAATCCTGTGTCTATAGCTAACAGGGATTTAGAATAAATGACTGGAGGTGGGTAAATCAGGTCTGTATTTAATTATTGAATACCGAAAATCACAGAACATCAGAATTTTTAAAAGCCTTTGGAGATCATGTAGTCTTTTAAAAGATATGCTCACATCTAGTAGATTTAAGCATTATTTTTTGTGTGCATTCATTTATTCCATAGTAAGTTATTTATGTTGTCCCTGGAGTGCAGAATATAACCAGGTTTCTTCTATACAACCACCCCCCATTTCCTTGGTGACTCAATTGTGTCTAGATTTTATGATCTTAGAAGGGGAGGTGTTGATAAAGGAGGCATATTGACTGCTCCTTTTTTTCTGTCTGTGACTATCCGGGGACCTCTGAGGAGGATTTTTATAAAGGACTCGTGTTTGTGCTGGTCTTGATGCTCTCCTTTAACTCAGCAGAACAGTCATAGGACTGATGCAAAGATAGTACAATAAGATGGATTTCTTTCTAGTGAGAAAAAAATAGCTCATGCTTTAGACTTAAGCGCTGAAAATGCCATTATATTTTCTGTTTTCCTTAAGACAGACCTTGCTCTGATTAGTTGGTGGAAACAACTAATCCAAGTGGGATTTGTCTAGACTCTGGTGCCCCTGGGAACCTTGAGGATCTGGGCTATGGATTTCTGAAGCTTCACATGTTTTTATCAGTCAATTTCCAAGATGCCTCAGAGACCGTTGAGATAGATAATAAATCAGGTGAGATTAAGCTGTGTTTGGAATCAGGCAAAGAACTATAATTAGAAAGACAATGTTTAATTTAGGAAAAAGAAGGGAAACATTGTAACTGCAGATTGTGAAGGTTTTGAGAAGCCCATTTTGTGGCATGTATCTTTCCTGTCAGAGTCCTGACACTCTTAAGAAATAACATAAGATAGGTGAAAGATGAACATTACTTTTATATTGGTACAGGCCAGATAGAGAGTCGAGTGAGAGTTCTAAATGAACATCAACATTAAACTGATTTGCGCACCCCCTCACGGAAGGTGCTGGACCACTTGTCCTTCTCTGACAGGGCAGAACCTTTATTACTCAATTTAGCAAGACCACACTTATTATATCTATGTGCATCCGGTTTCTAAACCGGAGTAAGGGGGTTGCTGAAGCAACTATGCCCAGCTTTTTCTTCTCAATTTAAACAGAGGAGTTAGTTCACTTTCCCTGGAGTGGGTTAAAGATGGAGAGAGGTCAGGGGTTACATTCATCAAGCTTCATTTTAATGGAAAGAAATATGAGCATTGGAGGTGGAAGGAGAGCATTTCTCCCAACATCCTAAAATATACATTGTTTTCACATCCTAAACTCTCTGAAATTAGGATATATCTGTAATCAATGGCATCTTAATGGCTGTCCAGCCGAAGACAATCATAATGACTTGTTTTTGCCTCAGTGTGTACGAGTTGAGTGACTATTCCTCATACTGTGACTCAGTATTTCAGATAATGAACCTTGTAAGGACCATTTGAGGAAAGAATATGATTCTTGCTTAGTACAGGGACATGTTTTCTTTAGACCTGATGGCATCAAGAACATATTGATATATTAAACCTGGCAGAGTGGATATCAATCAGCAGCTTGAAATAAAGTGCTGGATACACTCCTTTAAGAAACTCACTTGATGACAATCTTTAGAAAATAAGGAAAGTGACAACTTGGAGTCATTCAGAAGAGCTGGACTCTGACTATTCCATAGTTTTAGGAATATCTCAACCAGTTTATATTTCTTATATCTCCTTATTGCATGTATATGTGAGACTTATGGTAAACATCCACTTATTTTAAAAGGAGCTTTTCAGTAAGAAAAAATAAAGATCCTAAGTAATAAGGAAGCATTCTGTAGTTTAATTAGCAGGACATTTTTTCCCTTACTGTTAACCTAAAATAATAGCAGATCTTACAATCAGTGGGATCTTAGATTTGATGAAATACACACAGTTCAGTTCGTTTGGGTCTCTGCTCCGATCTTTACAGCCCTGGACAACTTTGTATGGCAGTTCTCTTCCCTTGAAAGTTGTCTGTGCTCTACTGTTCAAGATAGATACTGGTGGTTAGAGAGCAAGAGCTATACCTTTGCACTTTTTCTTGAAATATACTCTATATTCTCACTGTGCTTCCATGAAAATGCTCATTCATGGTTTATTTAATGTGGAAGACTAGGCCAAGTCATTCCAAAATGTTTTGTAGATATTGAAGGCAATTGTTTTCAAAGATGGTCCTTCTTATGCCCCCATAACATTTATCTAGATATGCTTGTTTTATTTCTTTGTAATATTTCTAAAAAAGTAAATCTCTATTTTTTTTTTCTGAAAGGTGGTCCTGATGATAATTTAATTGAAGGTGGAGGAACAAAATTTGTCTGCAAACCTGGAGCCAGAAATATTACTGTCATATTCCATCCGCTACTAAGGTAAGTCCAATCCTGTGTAGTCACTGAAGGTCAATATTTTCATTATTGTTGCAGATGTATGGAATGCTAATAGGTCAGTCAGCATTGAAACATCATAAAAAAAAAAAACCAAACTTGTTCCATTTCTTAGGGCCTCACTATCAAAGTGGTCAATAGAATAAATAATGTCAACCCCACTAAGTAGCTATTTGTTCTCAGGAGTAATACTTCATGAATACTTTAGACTTTCTCTCCTACTCTCTGTCCCTGCCCTTCTCCCTTCCCCCGTCTTTTCCTTCCTCTCCTTATGTATTTCAGGGATGGCAAACTAGGGCCCATGGGAGAAGTCTAACTGCCACATGTTTTTGTAAATACATTTTTATTGACACACGGTTCATGGTTTATTTAATGTGGAAGACTAGGCCAAGTCATTCCAAATTGTTTTCATGCTCATTCATTTATGTATTGCCCATAGCTGTTTTTGTGCTACAATTGCAGCAGTGAATATTTGCAGCAGAACCCATATGGCCCATAAAGCCTAAAATGCTTACTCTCCGGCCCTTGACAGCAAAAAATTGCAGACCCGTGATCTGTCTCACTAATTTACACTAATTACTCAGATTTCCTTTGAGAATTGGCAGGTCTCTGAACAAATATGATTTATAAAACTAAAGACATTATATCAATCAAATACATGATTTTTATATGTTGAAGGAAAACTTGATAGTGACTATTATGGGGCTCAATTTATTGTGATATTATGACGTAAGAAAATAAGAATACATGATAGTTCTATTTAAAAAAAAATTTAAGACCTAAGTACCATTAAAAGAGTACTTTTTGGGATGAGGGAAGGGAGTTTGTTCAGTGGATCTAAAGTTTCATTTTTGCAAATGAGAAAGTTCTTGAGATCTGTTAAAACAATGTGCATATAATTAACACTTACTGTACTGCATCCCTGAAAGACGTTAATATGGTAAATTATGAGTTTTGGCTACAATAAAAAAAGAGAACTTTTGGGACTAATATATCTAATATATATAATATCTAATGTAATATTAATTATACGTTTTCCTTGGTAATAACCAGTACATATTTTTGCTGTATTTTCATATAATGAGTAAGAAACCCTCGAGTTCATTAAAAGTTAGATACCTCATATCATCATGTTAACTTTCTCAGGTAACTTCTATAATACTTGAAGCATGTGGATTAATGGTTAAACAGATGCTACTGAAATGGTCAGAGATAATACTGTATGTACTTTTCAAAAACATAAGTAAGTTATTACTAGAATTATCCTACCATCTCATTAGCCAAGAATTACTAAATTGATATCATTAGAATTCATTTAATTCTCATCTTTTAACCAGTGTTTTAAAATTGTACTGGAATATTTTACCCAATTAGGTTTAAATGCAGAAAGCACAAATAAATAAATTCAACAACAATAACAATAAAAATCCTCACTTTTGCACAATAAAAAAGAAAAGATTTTAAAAGAAATGTTTTTTATCTTTAAAAAATTGTTTTAGTAAACATTTGAGTAAATTCATGTAATTTAATAATGACTGAATTAAGAGAATTAAGACTATTCCTCTAAATGTACTTGATTTTATATACATATGAAATAGGTAAATTACAACATAAAGAATTTCTAGATTAAGTAACAATTCTCTCATATATGGACTGACTTTGGTAATTAATTTAGTACTCACTCTCTTCTCCAATTACAATTGATTTCTACTTAGTTAATGTTGCTAATTGTTAGGAAGATGGGAAACTACCTAAATCAGTATAGGCATCTTCTAACCTAGATTGAACGCCATAATTGACTGCAGAGCTCTGTATGGGTTGGTAAATGGAAGCCTCGTGCTTACATTTGTTCCTGAGTACAAAAGAAACAGACCCTGTGGAAGTTTTTGGCAGTGTTGTTAATAGCCACTTTTCAAGAGCTTTTTTCCTCATAAACATTTTTTCCTCTTTCAATGTGAAGTTAGTTGAATGGAAAAACATACCATTTCCCACTTAATAAAATGCAATTCGGGTAAAATACTGGTAGAACTTAACGCATTACAGTTCTTGACTATTATTGTTTAGTGTTATTTGTGCCTGCTTTACTAAAGAGTTGTTTTGAGGCTGGAGAATACTCCTATTAGGTTTACTCACTTGTTTGGTCTCTACTTTCATTCAGAATTGTATTATTATTATTATTATTATTATTATTATTATTATTTTTCAATCCTCACCTGAGGAGTGAGGATATTTTCCCAATGATTCTTTAGCGAGAGTAGAAAGCGGGGGAGGAGGGGAGAGACACATCATCTGAGACACATCAATTGGTTTCCTACCACACGTGCCCAACCTGGGGCAGGGATCTGACCTGCAACCCAGGTATGTGCCCTTGATCAGCAATTGAACCCAAGACCCTTCAGTGCGCAGGCAGGTGTTCTACTACTGAGCCACAAGGGTCAGGGTCAGAATTTTATTATTGATTAGAACTGGAGAAAGTTTTGTTGCATGATTTACAATAGTTTATCATTCATTCATTCTCTGTGTAACTCTTAATATTATGTGGTCTGCAAGGTAAGTTAACTCTTCTCCAAGAAGGTCATCATCATAGACTTTAAATTAGCCTTTGACTCAAAGTGCAGTCTATCTTCTCAAACCATTATGGAGTTGTAGCTGATAACTCTTGATGGGCTTATGGAACTTTAAATGACTAAGATCTTTTAGTATTTAATTTTTTTTTTTTTTAGTTTTCATACTTCAGCACTTGCTGATTATTAGATTTAGTATTTCTTCTAAAGTTTGGAAGTTTACTTTCAGTAATGATGAGAATCAGTGTGCATTATCATACTAGTATATTTTATTTTTACTATTATCATTAGAAAATTTCCAATTTCTTCTGTAGTCATTCATTTATTTATGGTCAATAAATGAGATGTTTATGGAATTCTTGCAATGTATGTTTTCCCTTCTCTAAGTTAGATCTGTGGTCTTGTTTAGAAATAGTCACTCTTATTTTTATGGGCTTATTTAAATATGTATAGATACCTTTTTCACCCCTTTGCTCCTTGCTTTTTTTTCCGTGCTAGTTTAAAGTGAATGTGATTTAGTAACTTATGACTTAAAAGAAGATGTAAACATAGTGGGAGAGGCAGTGTAGAAGAATGGAAAGTTAGGAAAAAGCATAATTTTAAAATTTAAAAAGAAAACCAGAACAAGTTATCAAAGTTCAAATGTAGGTTTCTTCACTTCACTTTTACTCACTGATTATTTCTTGAACTCTGATTCTATGCCAAGTTCTGAGGAGACAGAAACATAAGATGGAATCCTTGCCTGGCTGCAGAGGTGGCAAAAAGTTAGGAAGTCAAAAACACCAATTATTGGAGAGGAGGTTGATCAGTGGGATCTCCTATACCTACTGTGTAAACTGGGACAGCCTCTCTGCAAACAGCTTGACGTTATTGAGCGATCACATCCTGTCCCCTAGTAGTCTCATCCAGATGTGTTTCTGCTGCTGTGAAGTGACTAATTTTCTTTCCATCCCAATTTTCCAAACTCTTTTTCTCATTGATGGTAATAATGAGTCTTTATTTATAACTCCATATTAAAAATAAGTTCAGAAGGAACTCATCACTAATTGATTTTTATCACAAGCCAGCACTGTTCAAACATGATGTCATTGCTTTCCTCAACTCTTTCAGTGAGCTCTCACATACTTCTCACCCGCAAGGAAGAAACCCTCCCACCTGTGCAGGGCCTTCATTTTTCCTTCCCTTCCCTTCTCCTGTGTCTAGCAACACTGTACTCTGTCTTCCAGAAACTTTGGCTGTGGCTTTTGCACACTTTATTTATTTAAAAATTGCTTTTCATAATTTTTATTCAGCTGCCAGTGCATTCTTTGCAGCCTGAAGGTTTTCCCTACAGAAAACTGAACCACCTGCTGAGAACACCACACTGTGGATTCCCATTATGCTGTTTTATATATGCTCAACAGTCGTTTATACTGTCCTCACGTAAACTTATTGCACAGGCTCCTCAGATCTGGTAACCTTGCAGACTTATCCTTGTACTCTTCTCAATTAATGCCGGCCCATCACCAGGAAACGCACAGGCTGTTGGAGGCAAATATACTGACTTCCTATTTGTTCACTCCTCATTAACCCTGCTGACCCCTCCCGTGAGTTGTTTACTTAATGCTTTTCCATACCATTTTCTCTTTTTGGTTCATAAACCAGAAAATTGTCTGAGAGTGTGAAGTTTTAGAAAGATGAAGTATAGTAGTATCCTTGCTTCAGTCTTGGTCTAAAAAGGCATTGTGTGCAATTAAACCTTTAAGCTTTGGATGATAAGATAAGGAAGGGGTCATCTGATCAATTTTTCTCCTGGTGGGTCTAAATGAAAAACAAACAAAACCATATTGAAATAAATACACTTCAGGCCACACCTGGGTAGATTCTGAAATACTTGCACCAAAATATAGACCCTGGAAATGATAGAACTGATGCCTTTTTCCCACCGACCAGTTTGCTATTTTTATAGCTTTCTCATAAAACATGCACGAGGAATGATGGATTCACTCTGATAAATGGAATTTATTTTCTAGGCCTTGAATTTGGAGAACAAAAGGGAGAAATGTTAATGTTGAAATTTGAATGGCATATTTTTCTTCTTTTGTCTAGGTCTGACATGAATTTAGATTGTTAAAATAAAAATTATTATTTTTGAATAATTATATCATGGTAATTATTAACCATGATCTAAATATAACTAAGCCTTCACCAATTGAAGTACATTTTATTGAGGTATCAACCATAGTTTAACATAGTGTAACACTTTTTAATCACAACTAATATATAATAACTTTGTGGCTGTTGTTTGGGGGGAGAATTTCTTTTTCCCTTTGTTTTTTCATTTATTTATTATTATCATTAATCTTTATTCTCTAAAAATCTGAAAACAAAGAATATATCATGTCTTAGATTTGTTAGTACAATTTCTTCATATAGCAGAAA